AGATGTCTGTCTACTAACTGAAATTCTTAATTGCTGAGAGGAGAAAACCCCAGACTCCACTGTTTATAGTCAAGGTCTAGAACTGTAACCAAAGTCACTGTTCCAGTGCTTCACTGTGCTGGTTTTTATGCCAGGGAACCATCTTCTACACATGCTTCTTCAACTCCTCTAACAGACATCAGCCTAGAAAAACACATTTGGCTTTACTTTATGTCTTGAAAATTAATCAAAACCAGAGTTTTACCATCCTTACCAGTTGATTTCTGGCTTATACATTACAGCTGACTTCAGTGGATAGATCTGGATTTACAATGCTGCAGCCAAAGGAAGATATTAGCTCACTGTCCAAGGCTCCCAAAATAAAACCTTCTGAAGATGCTGACCTGCTTAGCTCCAATAGCTCCTCAGTGTGAGTTGGACAATAAATACGTGAGAATGGCCTGTATTGGAGTATTTCAATTGTGACAGAGCATTTATTCCCCAAAATGAAAAGCCAGCATTGAGCAGTGTCTGTGTTGTGATTCTTTTTTACCTTAAGTCCATTCATTGATTATATTGGTGCAGTTACCTGTCATTAGAAAAGGACACTATTAGTCACAGAATCATGGAATGGTCTGGGTGGGAAGGAACCTTAAAGGCTGCCTAAACCCAGCTCCTCTGCCATGGGCTGGGACGCCTTCCACTATCCCAGGTTGCTCCAAGCTCCATCCAACCTGCCTTTGAACACCTCCAGGGATGGGATAGCCACAGCTTCTCTGGGCAACCTGTGCCAGGGCCTCACCACCCTCACAACAGAGAATTTCTTCCCAATATCCCATCCAACCCTGCCCTCTGTCAGTGTGAAGCCATTCCCCTTGTGCTGTCACTCCAGGCCCTTGTAAACAGCCCCTCTCCAGCTCTCTTGTAGCTCCTTCAGGTACTGCATAGCTGCAATGAGGATGTCCCAAAGCTTTCTCTTTTCCAGGCTGAAAAGTCACAATTCTCTCAGCCTTTTCTCACAGCAGAGCTTCTCCACTCCTCTATTTATCCTGGTGGCCTCCTCTAGATTCATTCCAGCAGATCAATATCCTTCCTGTGCTGGGGACCACAGAGCTGGATACTCAATGCTGAATTATTGTCAGTAACAAGCTTCATTAATTCTAGGCAGGCAGAGCATGATGCCTTTTCTTCCTGCCTCCTCAAAAGGTTCTCCTGCTGCAAAAGATGGGCAGGATGATGCCTGTGGTCTTCCAGGCAACACACAAGTTAAAAATTCACAATGCAAACATTACACACCAGAGGGACAAAATGAGTAACACTCCACTTAACTAAAAATAAATCCTAGTATTCTGAGGGAAATGTATAAAATAGGAGACAACCCTGTTTCATATCATACTTTTCTTCTGCAAAACCTCTTCCCTGTTCTGCTTTCTATTAATGAAGACATGCACATGAAGTAACTCCCCTCATTAATCAACTTCATTCTTTTGGTTTTTTCCTACTTGAAGTGACAATCTTGCATTTGGGATGTCACATCATGGTGTAGTTGAGAATGATTTTAGGGATGAGTAGCAGTGGTAGATTAAACTCTCAAGAAACAGACTTTGGCTTCAAAAGGCCTCTCCAGTAAATGGAGAAGAGAAGGGAATGGGTTCTGGTGAACCACAAAAGCAGCATCTCACTGGGAAAGAGGAGAAATTGGAGTTGTAGGAGTTGTAGGAGAGCAACTGAGTAGTTTGAAGGCAAGTATAGATCCATTGCTGCATGAGGCAGAGAAAGAGATGGGGACAAGACTGCTAAGAGCACTCCACAATCATTGGTTAGAACCACAGAATCATTCAGGTTGGAAATGACCTCTAAGATCAAGCCCAATCATTAATCCAGCACTGCCAAGCCCACCATTAAATCAGGGGCCACATCTTTTAAATCCCTCCAGGGACTCCACCACTTCCCTGGGCAGTCCGGCCCGATGCTTCACAACCCTTTTAGTGAAGAAATGTTTCCTTCCTAATATGCAATTAAAAAGCTGTGTAATGCAGAGATCCTCCTGCTCTGAAAGGTCAGCTCAAAGCCTACTCACTGTTCAGCTCTCCCATCTGCTCCTCATTTTCTCCTTTTCCTCCTGCCCAGATGCAGCTGCTCACGAAAGCACCACAGCCCCACTGTGCCAGCCCTGTGCACAGCCAACCCCTCCCTCCCCTCCCAGCTTCACCAGGACACCCCAACCTGCTGACAGCTCATCAAGAGGAGGGGAAGCACTCTGCAGAATGGATGCCCCTCGCCTCAGGAAGCACAGCTTGGGACATGTCCCAGGGGATCCCAGTCCCAGGGCCTGGTCCTGCCCAACAAGAAACACATTTCCATCATCGTGGTGGCTGCACATCTGCTCTTCTCTGCTGCCCCTGTGCAAACCTGAGCTCAAGGCAGCTGTATGGCAGCATGGCTCCTGCCTCACCATGGGCATCAGAAAGGCTTTTCCCCTTAACCTGCCCCCAGTATCAGAAGTTAAACTATTCTCTACAGTCTTTGTCCTTCTGTCAAATCTGGCTGAAATGGGCCAAGTTCAAATGTTACTGGGGAAAGAGAAGACAGACCCATCCAGCCCTTACACTGAAATTCAGGCTGAGGTCTGTGATCCATGATCAGTGGAACGTCAAAACCAAATCAAACAAGTGCAGGAGAGCAACAAATCCCAACATCCTTCATAGTTGTTACAACAATAATAGTAGAATATAACATAGGGTTAAAAAAGAAAACTAAATCCTCTATGGGATTTCAAAAATAACAATAAACCTACAGAACTTCATAAATAACAAAACTGCTGTACATTTTACTGTAAGGCCCAAACCTCTCCTCTTAAGATGTTAAAGATATTTAAATCATCTTATAGAAGCTGTTTTCTCTCTCAGCCCCATTTCCAGAGCTCTGGATCACTTCATCTCTTTAAGGCCTCCTTTGCTTGCAGCTCAGTTATAAACTAGCAACTCAAAGCACTGCTGGCTGAGGGATGCATGTGTCACCACACACAACTTAATATTCATCTTCTACCTCTGCATTTTCACCACATCCACCCCCTGAAACAGCTCAGAGTTTATTTGATTACCCTGAAGGGAACTAAATAAGTAAATTCATTTGAATATGCAGCTGGATTTAATAAAACCTGCCTATATGCTTCTGCTGAATAATACTTACAAGCCTGCTTTAAGCTTAGTTTCCTCCTTCTTCAGGGGTATATCTTGGTTTGGAAGTACAATTATCCTCACCTTCTTATTAGATAAAGTTAATTAGTGGATGTAGTAATTCAGTGTTTGATGATTTCAAAGTCAGGATAAGACCAGCCCCACAGCTCACCTGGAGTGCAGGTCCTGGGGGTAAGATGATGTGAATGCCATTTTCCCAGTGCAGATGTGGCAGCAGATTTGGGGTCATTCTGGGTCCCTGACAGCATCCAGGAGTGCTGGAGCATCATCAAAATCCCTCTCCAGGAGCTGGGACAGGCAAGGTGCCAGGCTGCCCATGGGGACAGTGGTGATGCTCTCTCCTAGGGAATAGTCCCCGTTTCCTCCCAGAGTTTCTGGTTTTTCAGAGTTCTGCAACTAAATGATGACTGGGACAGCAGAAAGGACAAACCTGCCTAGGGCACTGCTAATCCAGCAGTGTTTGCCACACCCTACAAGGGCAAAAAGCCACCCTAAAAATGACAACAAACAGCCCATTAGAGTGAAATTTCACATCTTCCAATAAATGTACTCTTCATTTCCAATGGACCCCTGAGGGTCCATTGGAACTCTTCATTTCCAATGGACCCCTGAGGCATCTGTGCAACCTCCTGGCTCCAGCATCTCTGGGGTTGCTGCGGGCAGGTGCCACCTGAGGGAGACAAACCCCTTCCCTGGACACAGAGCCCTGCTCGCCCACAGCCTCCCCTCACAACTTAAATCTACTTAAACTTAGTCATTTGCTGGAGTCCCAAGTACTTTCATGTCAGGGATGCAGGCTGGTTGTGCAAAATTAACCCCATCTCCCACCTCAGGATGCTGCTGTCCTCCACAGGGAGGATCACAGGGGTCCAGGGCAAGTGAAAATTGCAAATAGCCCTGGAATTCCCTTCCAATCCTCCTCTCTCGAGCTCCCTGGCACACACAAAACTCAATAGATGTTTCTATGGTTTCTGAGCACTCAAAAGGAACCAGGCCAGGGCACATGGTGGCTGATAAAAGCAGGGAGTTTTCCTAACACCCTCATCCAGGAAAAAAGAAAAAGAAGGAAAAAAAAGAAAAAAAAAAGGAAAAAAGGGCATCAACCACAAGAAGGAGAAGAGCTAAGAATAGCCAACACACTCCTTCCAGAGCAAGAGGCAGTGCAGAACTCACCGCATCAATTCAAAAAGCAGGAGCAGAGATGGACACTCTCCATGTCAGGTACATGAAGAATTTACACAGTGTTTTTTACCAGCTCCTTACACCAAGTGCGTGCCTGGGAGTGATTCCATGAAGAGCTGTGGAGCCCCTCGGAGCTGGAGCACTGTGGCCATCCAAGGGCACTGATGAGGATGAGGGGAGCCAGTCAGGAGGCTGAGGTTTGGGATCAGGCCAGAACAAGGGCTCCCTCCTCCTGCACATCCAGCAACTCCACACCCATGTAAAAATTTCTGGATATGAGCAAATGAGGATCTATCTCAACACCCGAGGCTCTTTCAACAGTATCCCCTCTTAAGTGGGACAAACCCCAAAGCCTTCACTCACTTTACAGTCCAGTGAACTCTTAAGGAAGAGCATAAATACAACCATGAAAGGGCTCAAGTATTTCATCCCTATAAACATTAAGAGAGATTATTGCTCAGGCTTTTAAGTTTTAGGGCTGAATCCTTCAAAAGCTACTGCTAATGAAGAAAGAGAGGAGGGAAGAAGTGAAAAGAAGCTTTAAACAAGCAAGGAAAATCAAGTGTCATGGAAAAAGCTGGAGAGGACCACAGAGCACAGATTAGAAAGGAATAAAAATAAAAGGAGTAGTGGAGTTACCGGGTAACCATCGCGTCCTGACTGCCCCTGTGGGGGGGAACAAGGGAGATAAGTCAGTCAATGCACCTGTAGCAGCTTGACATCACATAGCAGCAGGCAGGACACGGGGCCATCGGCTCTCCAGACAGCCCTGGCACTAAACTCTGGAGAAACCTCTCAGGGAACTTTCCTATCAGAGGTGTAGGTGTAGGTGTACACCTACAGCGTATTTTCCCTGGATTTTTATCTCCTGCTCCCCTTTGGCTACTTACCGCGTGTTTTGCCAACTTGCACCCATCCCTGCTGCCTGTGCCCAGCCCCTGCTGCCCCTGAAGCCACAGACATGTATGGCACACCCTGGGTCCTGGCCATAAACCTGCCCTGGGATGGGGATACCAAGAGGGGTATCTCCGTGTTGGGGAGAGGTCATGAAGGCTGCGGCTGCTGAGCCAGCAGCCAGGACAGCAATCACTGAGCTTCGAACTCCAGTTCCAGCACTTGATTGTGTGAAGGTTCACCCCTCCAAGATCCATTAGCTTCCTTGCAGGACGCAGCTCTCCCAGCTCTCGTCTTTGCTTTACTTTGCAATCAAGCAGAAAGCACAGCTGATGCTGTGGAGAACCACCCTACTGAAGTTCCTAGTAGCAGCTGCAGGATCAGCAGAATAAAACACAACCCATTCAGGGTATTTCACCTTTTGTGCTCTCCTGGGGGGTTCCCAGAGGTGTTTACAGCCCGAGGGGCTGTTCTCCATGCCGTGAGCTGCAGCAGAGCCTGCTGCAAGCCAGCCCAAGGGCAGATTCCCAGAAAGAGCTGTTGAGTGTCAGCTGGAACACAAATAGCAGTGAGGTGAGTGTCTGGAGCAGCAGTGTCATCTGCTGCCATAAACACAGGTTGTGTGAGTGTTCTGGTGGTACAGAGTGTGAGTCAGGCTTTTCTCATGGCATGGAACAGCTCTGGCAGCCCCTTCACACCAATCCCAGGGGTTCTCCCTTCTCCTAAGCACCCCTGCAGCTTTAATGCCTCATGCAGCACTCCTGATTAATCCAGAAACAACACTGACTTCAACAACTGCTTATTTAACCAATTACAGTCTTGGGATAAAGTGTACAGGGAGGTTTTTATGGAGATGTATGGCAATGGAGCACAAACAGATAAAAAGGAAACACTTGGAATGAATGCCCTGCCCTCGCTTGCTGGCGAGTTCCCCAGCCAGCACACTAACACATAATGTGTTTGCTAATATCTGTGACTGCAAATGTTTAATTACAGTCTGTGTTAAGTCTATATTTCAATTGTAGAAATTTCCTACCCAGCATGTGATTTTAATACTCTCCAAAGCAGATGTTTTATAGCATATCTGAGCAGAATACCCCTTACTCATAGACAGGATAATCAATCATCCATCAGCCACAAATCCTGTACCACAAATTCTAATAATTTTATATGCATAACTAACTTATGACAGCCAAAAGAATAAAATACCAGAACAACTGCTACTAGGGAACAACAGAATTTGGGATACAGCTAGAGCAGTGTAATGCTGTACATGTAAGAAGTAATCAATTCCTTCTGGCCTAAATCAAGAAACAGAAGAAACTAATAAATGCAGTACTGTTGAAATAAAATAATATTGTGGTTCTGTGGGTTCTAGGACTTATTTTATATTATGCTTAAAGAAGTCTCTGGCAAAGGCTACTTATGCTAAAAAGCAGGATTAAAAAAACCCAAAACCAACCAACCAAGAATCTCCACCCAACCCAAAAATTAACTAAACCACGAGTTGTCTTTCAAAGAAAGGCAAGGGGAGAGGAAAGGAAAAAAAGGTCTTGCTTGTGTTAAATCTCCCCTGTGCTCCGTTTGCAATTCAATAGTGCCGTGGGAACCAGGAAATGAAACCAACTAGAGACAAAGAAAAATTAATAGTGCACCATATGTTGCCTGTGTTGGATCGCCATAATAAACGTGACCAGACAGCACACGTGAGGCAGCAATGCACCCGGCTGCGTGTGGGCTGATAACAGCCTCTGAGCACAACCAAACAGCTACACAAATCCATCTCAAGCTAGCCAAAGTACTTCAGCCAAGGGGGAATGTCCCTTAAAGGTGTATATATGGAGTTTTAAATAGGCAGTGTCCCAGTATCCTCTTTATTTGTGATCCCAAATAATGGTTTTGCTCAACCCCTTCTTAAGTATTTAGGTTAAAAAATGAACTTGAAGTAAAAATTCAAAGGGCTGAAAACCCTCAACCAAACCCCCAGGCAGTGCTGCTAGTCCCAGGAGAACCAAAGCCTCGGTGCTGGAACAGCTCCCACCTCCTTGTCACCAAAACAGTACTGGAAATTTATTAGCCCAGGAATAGTTACCAAATTTATTTTCCCTAAAATTAGTCCTTTTCAACCCAGTGAGGCTCTATATGAAGAGAACAACATGAAGAAATGCCTCTGTTAGTGCAATGACAGACAAGGAAATGTGGCTGCAAACAGCCTTCACCTCTCCTCCTCTTCCTCCTCCTTTGGGGGGAGAAAGGTAGAAAATCAGAAGCACCTAAAACCCATTATTTATTTTTTAAAGTAACCCTCTGCAACTTGGAGGGCACAAAGAAAACATAAATTCTCACTCCAAAACCAGCAGGAAAACAACAGATTTGGATGTGGTGGCACAGCCAAAGGCACGTCTGGACATTTAAAAGGAGGAGTTGACACATTTTCAACTATTACCCCTTCAAACAACTATTTCCCCATAAATTTTCTGGTTGCATTGGTAGGAATGCCCATTATTCTACCCAAGACTTCAAAGAAAGAAGCAAGCAAGCTATGGCTTTCCCTCTAGCCCCCTCTGTGAGGCAACCAAACCCATATTAAATGCTGGAAACACAACAGATAAGAAAAGCAAGACAGAGCTTTAGAACCAATAAACCCAGTAACATGTTAAATATTAGTACAGCACTCTTTCTGTTAAATAGAGGCAGACTAAAGAACTCTTTTAAGGGAAAACTCCTTTTTACTGAATATCTTCTGAGTTTAAAATTACTGGAAGTCCCTTGGGGCAGCAAGTAAAACATTTTAAAATTCCCCCCACAATTTGTCTACAATCATGAAAAAAAAAATAAAAAATGCAGCAGCATCTGGTACCAATTTTGCTTCCAGACACACCTCTACCAAGAAATGCTGTGCTTTTGCAAGGATAGGGGAAGGGGAAGGCAGGGGAAGGGGAGGCCTTAACTTTGTTGATCCAACAGCAAAATCCACGATACTTACTGCCGGTCCTGGAAAACAAAAGAAAAACAAAAGAAAAAAAAGAATCAATTACAAAGAAAAAGTATAATCTGATAAAGCAACACAAAGCAGGAACAAACACCAGAATGATTTGGGACTTTTCAGTCCAGTTCCCATGCGATGACTTTCCAGATCCACTCAGCACCATCCACATCCTCTTGTTACAGGACCATCTCACCCATGCTGGGGGCACAGCAGTACTGACAGGGGTGTAAAACCACTCTTTTCCTGTCTTTTTCACAGTACAACTCTATTTCTCCTTCCCCCACAAGACCCTGGGCACGTCACAAGGCAGGGCCCATGTGCAGGGCATCAGGGCCTTGGGCACCACTTGTGGCTGGCTAAAAGGAGATAGACATGGCCAGAAAAATGTGCAAATTTTTATGAATAAAATCTATATTTTCACCATAGACCTTATTTATCCTTCGGGTAATGCAGGAGAAGCAAGATACAGGCTCACAAAAGCCAGAGGAGCAGTGTAGTAGAGAACTGGCAAGGAAGTGCTGCTGCTGCTTCCACAGAATGCAGATATTGCTGAGGATGGTGCCCATCCCTCCCTGACCTCCAAACATGTCCCACAGCCCTGTGCCACCCCCATGTGGCCCCTGCTCGTGTTCAGTGCCTCAGCTCCAGGGAAATTCCCATCTCACCCACGTTAGGCTTTGGGTCTGAGGCTGGCTTTAACAGCAGCAGCAGAGAAACATCCCCCAGTATCCCCCAGCAGTGCAGGGTGCTCCCCACCAGCCACACCAATTGCTGCACTTTTCCCACTGCTTGCCCAAGCTGCTGCTGCACTGAGGTGAACGCTGAGCCCTAATCCAAAGCCATCCACGTCACACTCCTGCTCATGAGGCAACCTATAGCTCTGTTTGGGATTTCTTCATGCTCTGATTCTTGCCTGATCAAAACCAGAAACTAGGCACAATTAAGAAAAAAAAAAAAAAAAAAAGTGGGAAAGCTTAAAATGGAGGCAAAAAAAAAATTAAAAAAAAGCTTTGTTCATCTTATGTTATTCAACAATATTATTGAAGAAGCATATTTCAAGTCAATGCTCTTTCAAGGATCTTAAAATTTGTTTTAAAATTAAAAGCATTGCTGAGTTGAATTAAAATAAAAACCCAAACAAGCCTAAGAAAGAGGAGTGGCAGCAAGTAATGACAGGCAGTGCACCAAGAAGCATCCCACTGAGCTGTGTCTGTCACCTGTGGGGGTCAGTGCCACACAGCCACACCTGGGGAAGGGACATCCCCCACCTCCCACTCCAGGCCAGGAGCACAGGGGCTTAACTTGCTCTCCTTGGTTTAATTTCTTCTGAATACAGAAGCCAATGGCTCTATGCCAGTTTATTAACTGGGAATCATAAACCTGATTTATTAACTCACTTACACCAGGCTACCCACAAAAGCCCTTTTGTGGAAAAGTCAAGACTAAGTCTCAAAGAAGTGAGCAGGAAATTATTTTAATATGGGATTTCAATCATGTACCAATTATTAATATCTTTGGAATTTGTTGCTTACTTTTCTCAGCTACTGTTTTTTTTCTCCCCAACATGTGCAGGCAAGTGGCTCTTTTAAAGTGCTACCTCCTCCCAAATCCAGGAATCACAGTCAATGTGGGTGTCTGTATATGCGCCTTTGAATTCTCCAGCCTCATCAGTGGAGCTACACCAATCCCTCACTGTGCTGTTGGCCAACTGAGGCTAAATAAGGCATTAAGGCATAAAGTTAAAACTATTGAACTGATCTTTTAATCTCCTAAGAACAATATCACTTTCTGTTTTGCTGAATGTGTTTTCAACAGCCCAGCCACAAGACACTTGTTTCCTATGGAAAAAAGTCAAATATTTTGCAATTCAACAATAAATAAATAAGCTGATCCTGTACTCAGGGGCTGCCCCTCATCCAGCCATCTCATCATTGTGGACACATTGCACAAGATTTATGCTCTTTTCAAAGAAATTTGCCAGAATTTATTGCTAATAATTTTGACTGGCAAGGATCAGTTTGAGAGGTTGAAAGGAAGAATGAAACAATTTGGAAATTCTTACAACAAATAAAAGTTGGAAACAGCCTTTGTGTATTCAAAACTATGTGACAAATTAACTTGGGTGGTGATTTCAGAAGGAAGAGGAGGAAGACAAAAATAACCTGCAAATGCACAGATTTTTGTCTGTGTTTGATTTACCTGAACAGGGAGGATGCTGCTCCCTGTTCACTAACCAGGAATGAAACCCTTGTGCTCAAGCATGCAAAGGCATGGAGATATTTGGAAACACAAAAAGATTCCTTAAGAACATGCACAGCTGTGCTAGTGGGAGGTGAAAATCAAAACTCATTAAAAATTAATGACCCAGATTTCCTGATTGACCAACATTAATGTTATTTTGTATATCCAAAGCCTGAGTGGGTCACAGAGGCATCATCCCCAGCAGTACACAAACAGATGGGAAATGACAGGTCACAGTCATTTATTTCCAAGTATTTTTTCAGCTTGGAAATTTTGGGAGAAGATGATATTTCTGTTAAATCTGCAAATCATTGATCATGCAAGCTCTCCCACTACGAGAGGAGAGAGCCAGGCAGGGGAAACAAAACCGCAGCCAGACATTTCCAACAGCTCAGGAAGAGTTAGAGGGGACTTTGCTGCAGCTCCAAAGCGCAAATAGCCCATCCTCAAGGTAGCAAGCATGCATCTGTGGCCACCTGAAGATGTATAAAAATTATAATTAAAAAAATCTATATGAATACATTGCTGTGTGTATTTAAACACATACACTGTGTATATGCATACACACAGAGCTATTAATTCAGGATGCTGTAAGGGGAGTAATGGGTTACAGCAGAGGACAACTGCTATAGCCATAAGAAGTCACAGAGTCTGGGAGAAACAACTATTTGTCACTGTGTGTTGACTTCTGACTCCTATCTATGCCTTGGTGCTGGGGCACACAGGGAATATGCTCTCCTAGCAGAGGCTCATTACTGACAGCACATGTGGGACAGATTACATTTTTCCTGAAGTTCAGCAGAAAACGAAGTCCTTGGGTATGAGGTTGTCACAGGCAGTTCATAGTGAGAAATAGGGGGAGCAGTAGAAATCCCCAAATAAATGCAATTTTCTGTGTGATTTACCCACAAGCAGCCACATGTGTGGCTTACTGAATAACAACAGATGTGTATTTACACTTGTCCATTCAATCACATGTAATGGGTTTGAAAGTGTAAATCTTGGTATGTAAAATATGGGATTTTAAATACATATAGGGAAGAGAAATAAGCCTTCCCTGCATAGAAATCACATTGGTTTTTTTCCTTTTAAAAAAGCTTTCTTGTTGCAATCAGCATATTTCCACAAACAGAATAGCTATAAGAAAAAAGCCCACCCAAACAAACAAAAACCCTCTTTGAATTAAATCTTTGTTAGAAGTTCAAATGAAGGCAACATCTGCAGTGTAAAGAAAAAGAATAAATCATGGGTGGTGGGCAGAAGACTTCTATCCCATAGCAACAATTTCAACACATTTTCCCAAAAACTGCTTTTGAAATGAAAACATTTTGTATACAAAACATTTTCTGCCAAAAACCGAAATGATGCCATGTCAGGATTTTCCAATGAAATAACACTTCATCAAAAAAACACCCTCCAAGGCCCACCTGTAAATTTTGTGCCTAAACTAACCAACATTTATCCTCCCCAGGCTGTAGCTGTGCACAGCTGATGCAAACAGGTGCCCCACAACACTCCAGCCACCAGCTTTGGGTGTTTGTGTCCTGGGGCAGCTCTTGTGAGAAGAGCAGAGCCTTACTCAGAGACTTCCCAAGCTGAACATTTCATGGGGATTGTTTCCAGGTTTATCTTGAGAGCTTTTGAGCTTCAGATCAGTTTCTGGATCAATCATCAAGCCAGGGGAAGAAAGCAGAGTGATATTACAGAGAGAGAACATCACCTCCCACAATCTAGTTGTGCAAAGCCCTTGAACCAATACTTCAACTAAGCTCCCAAATCCTGGATCCTATTCATCTTTTCTTCAGGAACACCCCTGCATGGCTCAATCTTTAAAAGAAATAAACAGAAAGGCCCGTGAGGGCTGTGCATCCATACCCCATCCCACTCACACAGCACCAGCTGGCAGCAAGAGGGAAAGCAAAACCTCCCAGGTCCCTGGCAGAAATCCTTGATATTTCACAAACGCTCACTCCAAGAGTTGAACTGTGTCCTCACTGGGACATATCACATTGGAAAAATAAGCTGACATGACATTAAACCTGATTTTGCCTTTGGCAAGGGAAAGGAACTGCATCTGAGATGAGCAGGCTGGCTGTCAGGACCAACCATGACAGCAAGTGCTGCAAAACCTTTCTTCCACCTCACAGTCAGGGAAGGCTGAAAATCCCACATAAAATTGTATTAAAATGTGTTTTTCTTTTTAAACACCTCTTCCATGGGTAGGTGCACGTGACTCTTCAAGTCTGTGCTTGCTTTCCAGCTGGAAAAGAAACTGCTGATGATCACGTGCAGGAATAAGGGTGCTGGGACCCTTGTGTCTGTCCTGGCAGGATGGGATGGAGCTCAGGACATGCTAGACAACACCAAACAGCCAAAGTGACATCTCCCCAGGGAAGCTGCTGGTGTGAATTTTCTGGCCTTGTGGTAACAAGAATTGTATAAATTGGTTTTTAAAAGTAGCCTCTCTTGCAGCGGTTGTGCCCAGCTCCAGGACTGCTCCCCTGCTGCAGCAGTGATTCCCACAGGGCCAGATGATGGAGAGAATAAATAAAATGGGCTGGATGGAGCCATTTGACTCAATTAGTCCCTGGTTTGTTCAGCTGGGCTGATGGTGGCAGAAACACTCCCCCAGGTACTTGATCCTTGTGTCTGAGGTCAGGGAAGGGATGACAGCAGGGATGAGCGTGCCCCCACGGGGAGCTCAAGCTGCCACCAGAGATGTGAAGTCCAAAGGGAGGTTGGGGTTTAGTGCAGCCCCCTCTGCCCTCCAGGGCTCCCCAGAGGGAAACTTGTTGCCTTTATGCTTCTCTACAGCAAAATAAACTCTCAAGTCCAGAGGCAAGGCCCCAGGAAAACCCACTGCCTGCCCTTGGTGGGTTCTGGGGGAAATGGGGGCTCACCCCTGTGGTTTAACAAGTGTTTTTTAAAGCATGTGCAGCCAGGCTTGTCCCAAGTCCAAACAGTCTAAATAGTTAAATTTTTTGTTTTGCTGGAAATGGTTTAAAAATTAATCTTTTATGGTATGGCACATATCTGTGGAAGAGAGCAGTTGTCCCAATGCATTTTCCTGATGATAAATTCTTAGTTTAGAAAAACAGAACTGTTGGATTAATTTATTTTATCTGAATCCATCATGGCAGAAGAAAAAAGCAAAATTCAGTCTTGGTTTAAATCAACAGGAGGATGTGATTAAAAGGACAGGAGTATCTCCTAACAGTTTCTCTGCTTGTTTCTTAGAGATATACATTGAAAGTTTCAATATGAATATGAAAAGGTTTTTCAACATGACCATTTCAACAAATGCCAGAGCAAAACCTTTCCTTAGCAGGGCTGAGCCTTCTGGCTCTCCAACAGCCTTTGTCTGGAGGTTGTGAAGCCCTAACCAGGCAGGGTCCCTGGGGATGGACAGCAGGGTGCTACACAAACAAAGTTTTATTCACATTATCAGCTGCAGTGAAGGAACAAGGACCCAGTTTATGTGTGGTCAGGTTCTCAAACAAATATAGACATATATATTCAAGTTATCTGGAGAAACAAACATCTGGCAGCTCAGCCAAAAGCAATACACGGTGGGATGCCTGCTCCCTGTGTATCTGCAGTGGGGCAATCCACAGGCTCTGCACAGCATTCCTTGGATTTCACTGGGGTGCCCCTTTGAGCCTGAGTGTGGCTGTGTGCAGTGGGTGCCAGCTGCACTCTTCTCTATTTTCCTCCACAATTGCAGAAGTTTCAAAAAAGTTGTTACTAAGGTTTGAAATTTTTTTATCATCAATAATTAATTTATTCTTATTTATTTATTTATTTATTCCCCTTATAATGCTTGTTTTCTTGCTGGTTCTGCATTGATACCCTGGCAGCTTTCTGCTTCATCAGAGGGGTGCTCAAGTAAATTTGCAGATGTGTCACAGCACGAGGGAAAATGCTGCTTTTCCAAAGTTTTGCATGAAGCAGGGAGAAGAGATTTAAGGGCATGTGTGAGCTTAGCGCTACGTTCCCAGATTTTTGTATGGACCAGAAACACATCTTGCACAGTGTTTACATAAATGCCTGCATAAAAAATCAGATCCATTGGCTCTGACCTGTCCAACTGCCCTTGGTTGAATGCTGTATTCCACTGTGCTCCTTAAAGCCCTTAGGTGATATTTAAAAAACAAACAAAAAATAATCAAAGTTGTGTAGTGGCTATTCCTACAGCCCAGCTGCTGAGAAAATGAAACAAATTAACAAAGCTGGCTGGGATTCACCACCACCCCATCAGCACCTCTGCCTTGGCCAGCAGTAAATTCCTGATGCATCAGGAACAAAAATATCTCAGAAAACCCCTAATGCACTCTGGAATACCATCAGTGGAAGAGAAGGGAAGTGCCTGCCTGTCTTTCTTGTCCATCAGTCCATGAGTTCATGTGCTGCTGCTGGTGTGCAGCATATATTGGCTCAATTTCTTTTCCTCAGAATTAAAAGAAATGTTTATAATATTGATGACCAGAAAGTTATGCTGCCCTTTTAGAAATCCCAGCTGTGAATTTTCTATAGCAAGAGGCAGTAGAGAACAGAATTCAGCCTCCTCACTAAATGAAAATCCACTGGCTCCCATTCATTCTAACAGTGTTCAAGAACCTAAGAGCTAGGACATGTAATTTCATGGGCTGCTTTATGGCACACTGAGGCAATCCCAAAAACTGCCTGGCTGTCTGGGCACATCCCTCTCTGTTTTCCTCAGAAAGAGCAATGCCAGCTGCATGTCTCCCTTCTCCAGCATCACTCAGACCCAAGAGCACAACGTAGGCTGTGAACATACGCTGTACGCTTCTCCCCAGCTGAAACAGGGTCAATCCTTTCCCATTACAAAGACAGGGACAAAACTCCAAACCTCACCAGATACACAGAAGTGACAGAGCCAGAATCACAGTCAGCTGAAATGAAAACCCCCAGCAAGGTTGCTCTGTGGTTTCAGCCAGGCTGAGGGCACACTGATGCTCAGGGGGCGTGCCCAAGGCTGGTGGCCAAGGTTTGGTTATCCCCGACTCCCAGATGCTGACACCACCACCCCATGGATGGCAGGCAACATCTGGACATGTCCACATGCAGAGAACCAGCCAGTGCACACCTCCTGTCTAACATGGGAAATTCCCTATTTCCATGCTCATTCACTGTCCCTCTCCAGTGTCAGGTGGGGCAGTGATGAGGCTGAATGCTGCAAAGAGAAGTGGAAGGATGGATAAAAGATGCAACAGCTGTGGGTGTTATGAGTGGAATTTACTTGTTTTTTTTGTTTTGATTGGTTAACTTTTTCCTTTATTTTTTTTTAAATTTGGTTTTTTTATTTTTAGGGTTTTGGGAGTTGGTTTTGGTTTCTTTTAGAAGTTTTTAATGAAACCCTTCATGCCCAGCACACAGGGGTGAGGGAAGCCCCTGTCCCACAGCCTGATAGAGGTGATAGTTGTCCCAAAAGCTCCCACAGCACCCAGCACCACCCAAGGGCCCCCAGTGCCATCGGGCAGGTGATGCTTACCGGGTTCTCCGCGCCGGCCGGGCTTCCCTCGCCTCCCTGGGGGCCCTGTGGGAAGCAGAGAGCACAGGCTTAGTGATGACCCATGGACAGGGAGTTCAGGAGGGTGTCTACCACATGTCCATCCCTTTGGACCCATCTCATGTCTTTCCCCTTTCCCAAATACAAAAACATTAGTATGCTCCACAACTTAAATACCATTTTTTTCCCAAAAAACATAATTCTGGTGAAAAAAGCAAGGCAAGCTGGGAAGCAGGTCTTGAAGTTATCAGTATTGCCTACATAGTAGAGAGCCCCAGATCTAACATCCAAAATTCTGGAGAAAATCCTTTGCTGAGCAAGCAGCATTGCTGTGCAGTCCCTGTGTGCTGCAAATGGCTGTTACAGGCTTGCAAATCACAATATTTAAAGTATTAAAGCAATGAACATGAACCTCTTGGTACTAATCATTATCTGAGTCAGAGCTTCTTTGTGCAGACTGCTGACACAGCGTAGATCTGGTCATAAATTTCTAATTTCAGATATAAAGCTTGCTTGTATTCTTACCTGACTGGGCAGCAATGGCTAAGGGATCAATAAAGTGCCATAAGTGACAAAATACCCTTAATTTAGGAAAAAAACCCACTCAAACAATAAACTCTGACACAGAATACTGCTCCAGCACACATAGAGCATCCAAGTCCCTGGCAAAGCCATAACACCAAGTCCTTCATGGCAGGGTGTTGCTGTCCCTCTGGAGCAGCCAGCATTCCCTGCCTGGCACCTGGCAGCATCACTTCTCCCACGACACATGCATTACCAGACTGGAAGAAAGAGCCTCTTTTTGCAGCCTTCTGCAGCAGGTCAGCCAGCTCTGGTGGAGTATTTGCTGAGAGACAGCAACATTAACAAAAAGCAAGAACTTGCTTTTTTTTTATCTGTAAAACAACACTGCTCCCTCTCCTTTCTGCTGGAAAAGGATGATAAACAAAGACCATTAAATATTTTTGCACTCCTATCAGAATTTCCCCTGTTGCATAAACATTTCTGTGCACACATGTACAACTGCATCTCCAGAATTTCAGCCATGGCCTGGAGTTCTCCTCTTTGAAGTCTGGATACACTCTCCAGCACTCCCCCTGTCCTCACAGGGGCTCCAGTGGGAGCCCCAAATCCCACTTGCCTCCTCACTATGGATTGGCAACCTGCAGACAGAAGCCCTGGGTAGTCACAAATGATTGGTAAAACATCTATCACTACTCCTCAAATAACTTGCTCACAGACAAAAACCCCAAAATATATTTGTAGCCTCCTTGCAACACATTACAGCCAGGAGAAAGGTTTACTTCCTCCATCCCCAAGTCAAGCTGCTTTGGAGAGGAACCACAGCTCTGACGAAGCACCTTTTTCAACCTTGGAGCCCAGTGGTGACTGAGCAATTAAAGCCTCTGTACCTGCACCACCCTCTAGGCTAATTTTGGGGGCCTGACCTTCAAGCAGAGCCTGAGCCTCAGCAGCTTCCAGTCTCCCTTGGAGTGCAGGGGGTGCTTTAAACACCAGCCTTCCTTAATCCTTCCCTGCCTTTCCAAGGACTCCTCCTGGATCTATTTAATCTAAAGTGGCTCACTCAGAAACCATTCTGCTTTCCCTCCTGCTGGCAGCAGGCAGAAAGCACAGGGTGCTCCTTAGGGAGGAGGAAATGTCCTAATGGAGGTGCAGGAGAGGGAGGCCAAGTATCTAAAGTGAGTAATGAGTTGGTATTGATGCTTTTAGGCAGCTTAAAGGACAGTTGATATCAAAGGGTGGATGCACAGAGCTCCCACATAACGCTTAGGTTGGAGCCATTCAACTGATAATGTGAGAAACCTGCAAGAAACCAAAGATTCTGTATGAAAAGGGACACTGATACTAGGATGGGCTTTTTTTCAAGTTTAAGGAATTTCTTAGTACTTCACACTACATGGGAAAAATTGACTCTTGTCTACACCAACATAGATTTTTCAGAGAGATGGAAGATACCCCATCCTGGATACATTCAAAGTCATATGGATGGAGATTTTACAGACCTGATCTAAATGAAGATGTCCTTGCTCATTGCAGGGATTGGAATAGATAACCCTTAAAGGTCCCTTCCAACCCAAACCATTTTGTGATCTTATAATTCTTGGCCTACAGTCTTCCAGGAAATCTGTAAAGTGGATGCAGCATACTGAAATACAAATAGATTTTAGAGATATTGCTTGTGGCAAGTGTGAACTAAACCAAAATTGAGAGAGGAAGAAATTAAAAATCCATTCTCATTTGTTTTACTTGCTGTTTTTATCTGAAAGCAATTTGGTTTAAAAAAGGGCAGCGTTTTGGAAACCACATTTAGGATCCTGCTGCCATTCAGTAGCTGGGTTAAGGAATGTTTTCAAGGAGAAAAAATGTTGGTGGGAATTAAAAGGAAAAATATCAAACCCAGTAGTTTGGGCAAGAGTTGCAAGTGTCAGTTCTGTGGTGCAGATGAGCAGGACAAAGACCTCCCAGCTCCCACAGGAGAGGGCAGCACAAAGGAGCAGCCCAGGAGTCCTTAATGCCACCTGCAAACACAAGCTCTGCAGATGTGACAATGTCTATGCTTTGCACAATTGGAAATTATTATTTTAGCAATTTCTAGCTTATTTTGGAGGCTCAGCTTTAGATAATGCTTAATGAACCGAGCATAAAGTGAATTCATATTACACCTCTTGTTTTCAACCCTTTTAAGAAACTACAAAAGAAATTAGGGAGGCCTGGGAATTTGCTTGAAGATAAATGTTCCCTGTAAACTGTTACCTAATGATTCCATCTCCCAGGACCTCGCAGCCTTATGCTTGTTCAATATAATTAAGATTTATGTTGCATTAAAGTAAATTGGGCAATAGCCGACTCTTTTCTTCTAACTGTGCCAGCCCCACTGTATCAGCTCTGGGAGTTCTTTATTTACATTGTTATGAAAGAGAGTTTTGGAGTGGAGAGTGAATACAAAGCATAACAGTCTATTTTTAAACAACTTGTCACGTTCAAGCTAAACAGCCTTAATCCAGGGCATAATATGCAATTTTTGACAGTACCATAAGCTTCCCAGAAAGATGATAGATTTAGTAACCCAAATACAAAGAAAGAGAATGAAATACATTGCTATTTGAAAATATTATGAGGAAGAGATGATGGATGTATCTAAAGAATAGCTCCTCAGAAACAAGGCAAAAAGTTCACAGTAAACACTCACAACTGCTGGGTAGCAGCCACTTATGTCATCTACTGTGGGCAAGTAAATGAAATATTAAAAATCAACATCACTTTATTATTCACATAAAATATTGTCAAAAGCCAAACCCAGGTACTTGTCTACAGTACAGTAAACAACCTTTGTTTGAAGTAATTTACCCATTGCAAATTGGGCTGCTCAATGAACACCATAATCCATCAACACCAGGAGAACAGGAACTACCTGTGTTTTAATATCTTTTTACCCCTTATAATTAAACCAAATCTAGTCCTTGACCCATGTTCCCATGGCTGGGAGGCTGCATGGCTGCCTCCCATCCCTTCAGCTGGATGGATGAATTTCTGCCTGGGGGTATTACTGCTTGGCATAAGGTAAAATCAGTGTTGTCAAGGATAAAGTGAGTGTTAGCAAGAAAGGGAGTCCAGCAAAACCTCACTGAATACCAATGCTTTGTTAAATGTTATGCCAGTGAAGCACATTTCAGCCAAGAACTTGTGGCACCAACTTGTGCCCTTCCCTTACACTTCTCCTACGCATCACCCTTTTCCACTGAGAGCACTTACACAGTGTTCCCATAAATCTGGGTCCTTCTCTTCCTTCAAGCCATGTGCTGCTGAGGCTCTCAGGGACTTGTTTTTGTTATGTTAATCCAAAGAAGTAGTTGGGAAGAGCATTCAAGTAAAAACCTTGGCCAAGTGAAGTGAAGACCTATCTTAGTGGATTTTGAAACCAGAGGGTTTTTTTCCCTTGCAAGCATGACACAGTGATCATGAGCTGATCATGTTGTGAACACTCAATCATAAATATTAAGGTTATTTTAGGGTCTTATTTTCTAGAGGAACTCATACCCAACACACTGTGCTCTAACATGGGATTAAATATTACAGAAATTTTTATACCACTCATGTGGTTGCACTTAAATTGGTTTTTTCTTTCTTTTATGAGCTTCAAATGGTTTAACTTGTTTCCCCTTCTTCCCTTTTGGCATTTTTCAAGTTGCTTTCAATATATCAGCATTTTTTTCCGTTAAAAATGAATCAACCAGAAGAATGGCCTGAACAAATTGGTTGGTTCAGCCACTCTCAAAAAGTGGAATTTTTTTTCTTCTTCTTTTTCTTGTTTTGTTTTGTTTTTTTTTCTTTTCTTTTTTTTTTTTTTTCATATGGCTTCACTTAGAAGGAAGGAGAACTTTGCAGCAGAGCACCGTGGGGTCTGGTATCGAGCACGAGGAAACCGCGGCCCCGGCCTAGCTGGCTGCTCCTGCACAAAGGCCAATTTACTTTCTTGTTCCCTGAGGAAAAGTTTATGGTTCATGGGCAGAAGTCAGATGCTGCGATGCTTGCTCAGCTGATACTCATCAGGTATTCAAGTCAGGCTGTGGCTCCGAGACCACAGATCTGAGATTAAACAGTTTTGGGTCACAACACTTTGCATGAACCTTTCTGGCTTTGGATTCCAACAGATCCTAAGATTCAAAGCAAATAGCAGATGCAGACTGGAAACACGCAGCACCTATGGTCTGCTGGAGTTTTCCAAATAAAACAAAAAAGAAGTAATATCTAGATTCACTTCAAATTTGGCCCAAGTGCCCCAAAAGCTCTCTGAAATCCTGGGCTACATCATGTGTTAGCAAAAACCACCCAGAAAACAGCCTCTAGTTGTTAGCTGGGGAGAGCTCCTCGCACTTCCACACCTGATCCAGTTGCTTTCAAGGTACAAAAAAAGCAAGAAGTTGTTTTACTTCTTGTACCTTCAAAAGTGTCTTCCTCACGACGCATCAGGGAGCTGTGCTCAACCTCAGGGAACGAAACATCCG